CATGGAATAATGAAATTCCCAATCCTTGTTATCCAGATTACACAAAGTATTAAGAAAGAGTTGACTTTTGGGTGTTGTAAAAACATGGGAGGTGAATTACGTAATTGCTTTTGGGTGGTATTTTCAAGTATAATTATTTGTTCACCGGTGACTAGACTAATAGGAGGCTCTGGACGTACACAAACTGCACGGCTATTCCTCCAGTCTAATGGCAGTGCAGAGATAATGCCATTCCACTGAAGTAGCTGAACATAATTGAGCCCTAGTGCTTGGAGATAAGCCCAATTTTTAATTTTCCCATTTGTGTCAAATATATCCACAATATAAATTATTCCTGCATTAAAAAACGCTCAGTAAAAGATACTTTTATTTTGAATGAGGATATTTTTGTTAATGTTACAAATGGATTTTGTTTTTTTAAATGGTTTTAAATTTGTATGTGATGAATATGCAAATTTATGCATTTTTTTGCTTTCTGTACATTTTATTTTGATCTCTAGTGAGGACATTCAACCATAATATTTAGTACTGATTGTCTTCCATATGTGCCTCTGTCAGTCCATTGGACCTGTATCTCAGATATGATATGTCTGTGCCAATCAAATTCAAACTTCACACACATTAAATGTCTTATGTTTATAAATCATATGTTTCATCATCTGATTAAAAGATGGCCGAATGGTAAAAGTTCATCAAAATCAAATATTTCTGCCATTCAGGAAATAGTCGTGTTCTGATTATGGACATTATAAGACTCAAAACGGCCGATCGGTGGGCATTTCATTTTTAAGAATGCTGTTTCACAGCCATCATCTCTGACATGCCTAGACCGATAATTTTCAAACTTTTTACACACATCACATGTTCATGTATTTGTTTAAAGATCATATTCAATATGAACGAATGGTGGCCATTTTATAATCAAACATTTCTGTCATTTTGGTTCTGGATCATACATGGCCAGCTATTGTTTTAACTTGGTTTATACATTGGAACCATCAATATTTTTCTCAGATCACATTCAAAATGATTGACGACAATTTTGTATTAAAAAACGTTGTTTTAGAGCACTTCTTTGATTTGCTTTGACTAATCGCAATCAAAATTTACAACTACTTTGTACACCATGTCACCACATATTATCGTGCATTTCTTTGAAATTATGATTCAAAATATCTGACTTATTTCAGTTTTGTTTACCATACTATTGAACCAACAGGGTCTCTGTCATGTCATAACATGACTTGTTGTTTCATGATCCTATTCAAGATGGCCAAATGGTAACTATTTTAAGGACAAAAATGCATGAAAGTCCCACATTTTCACTATTCCATGACTGGTGTGTGCGATGAATTTGGTTTAAACATGGTACATACTTTGCAAACAATAGAGACTTGATTTTGTATTAAAGAATGCAGGTTCTATATATCTGATCTCCCAAGACCAAACAAGTTCAAACTTCACAAATACATCAGACATAATATTAAACATACGCACATGCATTCGCTTCTAATTCAATTCAAGATGGCCGAATAGCAGCCAATTTAAGGCTCAAATTGCATGAAAATCACACATTTTCTCCATTCCAGAACACTTGACAAATTTTGTTTTAACATAGTACATACTACAAAATAGGAATTTTTATGCACATCATTTATTTTTTTGGATTGGTTTTAAAATGTCAAAATGGCGACCATTTTGTTTTAAAGAATCCATATCTCTGGCATCACAAAAGCATCAGACACCATGTCATGCATATACATGAGCATTTTAGTCCTGATATTTTTTCTACCTGTTACAAAAATGGCTGCCACTGACTTCAGTTTGTATTTCCTGTTTGTATTATGAGTGTGATAGTCAAAATAATTAATAAGAATTGGTTCCTCAGTATATTTCAAGCTGCTGTAAATTCTTTATTAATCAAATTCCAACATTTGCATTATTCTCATGCCACATGGTACATCTTTTGGTCAAATGTGATCAACCTTCCTCATTGTCCATTTGCTAGTACATGTATGTGGTTGTTTTCTGTTGTGTATAGATCATACCTCCCGGTATCTTCTACTGAAAAGTACTAAAAAACCTGAATTTATTTATTTCAATAATAGTCACTAGACCGAATACCAGTTTATTCAAAATAGTACAACTGGTGGTGTATATCAGTCTTCTTGAAAGTGAGAAAACTCAGTTTTACAATTTGTTTTGTTCATTTTGAAGATAAAATTATAGAAGGTGATTGCTGAAGCAACAATGTGTAGTGATTACCATTAGGCCATAGGACTTGTTGAAATGTAAAAATGTCACTAGTTTTACACTAGAATCATGGGCCTCCTTATTAAATACCTTGAAACTATTAAAAGTAAAGCCAAATATAATTTCCAAACAATTTCAGTGACTTTAATGCATTATTGCAGTTTTCAAATTGGTGCCTTCTTGATGTATGTGTGAAGTTTGAACGTTTTCAGGTCAGGCAAATATGATTGGACAGACGGACAGATGGACAAGCGCACAGCAAAAGTCATTTACACAGTCATCATACTGCTACTTAACACTGAAACCTAATGAACGTCGGTAACACGGAAAGCGACATGTTAGAAACTCTTATTTTGTGATAACTTACTAATAAATGTGGTGACATGGGATTCATTACAGCGTCCTCGCAAAGACTTTCATCAGGGGAATTGCCTTTATTCAACTATCTAGGATGATAATAAAAATAGATTGGCTATTGTTAGTTGTCAAAGAACTAATCAAGTAATATCCCAGTAATACCATGTGAATTAATATCTGTTTTTAGTGTCAAGATAATCACATTTCATATTTAAATTTGTACAACTCGTTAACTGTAATTATTTTTGATGGCCTGAATAATGACTAAATTAGCATGTCAAAGATGTGCTACTTTTAATTATATAGTG